AAATCCGCTGCTGGATATGCCATTCCTATTTCTGCCATACTTTTTAATGAAGCCCTATGAAACCCTGCGAAATCTAGCAAGCTGCAATGTTGTTGGAACGAATTCTTACTGGGGTGACGATTACTGTGGCGCAATACCTCGCACACTTTGAAGGCATACTGTGACTTTTTAGTGTGCACATGTGCAACTGATGAACAATCAGGGAGTAGAGGGAGTGCCACCCCAATAAAATGAAACTGTGCATGCCTATTTTATGCTAACATTAATTGCATAACTGTCCTGCCTTACCTCCGCCGAGTCTTGCTGCTTCAGTCCACAGACTTTCCGGGCCATCCTCTCTGGGTATCAGGCTTGGTCCGATTTCAGGTAAAAATGGGTCTGGTAGTGAGGACATCGTTGTGCTGTCATGGCCCCAAATTCCCAAAGGTGAAGAGGTCTGATGGGTAAAAACATGAGGGGTGGGACTGTGGGAGGTTTGGGTCCAGAGGGAAACAGAAGGATTTGGAGGTTCTGGTAAACTTCTTTCTGTGTCTTTATCCCAGTGAGAATCAAAGCTTTTTGTCCCATATGCTCCAGCGGGGTTACTCTTTTGGCTGTACGAAGTCTGCAGGTGTGATGGTGCTGAAGTGGAGGTCAGTAATCTACTTGGAGTCCTTTTTCGGGTACTGGTGTCCATGTCCGACTGCTCTGTCCCACCTGTTGGAATTAAATGCTCACCGTGAACTGGTGCATCCTCCTTTTTGCTCTCTGAATCCACAGACTCTGACTGCTTTTCAGAGTCTCTCATCTCAGATGTGCTCCCGATCTTCTCTATCTCGGCGCTTTGGCTCCATGCCTCTCCACCAGCCTCACTCAGCCTAGATCTTCCATCAAGACTGTCCCCATTTTCTGTCTGCGTCACTGCATCAGTCCCCCTGGGTCGTTCATGTGGGCCAGTCCCTCCTCCTCCACCTACATTCACTGTCAGGTCACTCTCATGTCTGGAATCTGATGGTGTAGGTTTTAAATCTGTAGCATGTGTTGACCCGGTGGTTGTTACCGAGCTGGCACACAGTCCTTCACAGGAGCCGGC